CATCCCAGCTGCCCTCTCTGTCATACATCTGACATCCCTTCTCATTCTTTAATAGAAAAGCAGAAGAAATATTCATGCATTAATAAATGCTAATATATCTCTGTCTCCTATTAGTCTCAGTAACTTTTTGTTCAATTCTCAGTGCTGTATAATGAAACTTAACTCTATAAGAAACCTCCAATGACAAAGAAAACCAAAAAAAGAATTGGGGGGCAGTTTCTTTCCAAGCAGACTGCACCTTTGGGTACCATGCTGTTCAAAGAACACTCAGGCACACCTCACGTGGAATACTGTGATCTAGTTTTGACTACTGGTGTGCAGCAGTTATTCTTAATTTATGTTCATTAGTTTCACTTACTAGATTCTGTAAACCAACACTATGGCCATCAACTGGATGAAACATGATTAACAGTTATGGAGTTCAACCAGAGGTCTCTTACACATAGAATAAAGTAGCAACACTTTTATGAGGAAAAAGAGAAAAGTTTGCAAAAACTCATGTCTACAGGTAACCTCCAAACTATCTTCCAGACTTGCTCAGTGAAACTTAAAGAGAACCCAAAGGAGATCTTATTGTTTAAACTCTTAACTGCTCAAACAACTTGCTAAAAATTATGGGGGTTACTATGACCTGAAACCTGTGTAGCTGTACCTTGTTGGGTATTTGACTCACACAACCTCCTTTAAGTCCCAAGTAAAAGAACAGTTAATTACGAAGTTAATTAGCAATTACTTCTAAACACTTAAGGAAGTGTAAAGAAAAAAGACATTTAAATTAAATTACTTCTAAACACTTAAGGAAGTGTCAAGAAAAAAGACATTAAAATTAAAAAAAATTCCTAAAGATCATGTTAAAATTGCTCTGCCTTGGAAAGAAAGTAATAAACCCTAAGAATCTAACATATAGCTGGAGATGCCATTGTAAAGAACTAGAAAATGTGAATGAAACATCCACAGAAATCATCAGAGCAGGTAATGTCTCACATTGATGTATGGGGAAGTTGTACTGTTCATCTGTAACTAGGAATGGTTTTGTGCATCACTATAAATAAATCAGGCTTTTAATAATAAATCATGTTAGGACTCCCCACTTCTACTTGGAGGTAAGAAATAAAGCACCTTTAAATATTAACAAGAAGTAAAGAAAGAAAAGAGAGAAAAGCAACTCGTGAAACAGTACTAAAGAGACATGCACTGGTGTTACTCTGCCAAATGAATGACATTACAGCAGTTATTTGCTTACTATTTGGCATCACCTTCTAAAATTGTCTAAATCTGGTACTGCAACAGAACACATTGTTAATTTGAAAGTCTTTTCATTACCTGTAGTTCTGGAATAACAGTTCCTCTTTCAGGACAGGACCCTCCAAATGCTGTCAAGGGTGAAGGCAGGACAATTGGATTTGGGCTGATAAAACTACTGATGTCACAAGATGGTGTGTCCGACTCTGTTCTTTGCATTACAACTTTGTCTACAATAATAAATCTATTCCAAGGCAACCAAAGTGTTCTTTTTTCAGATATGAAAGGAGATCTGTCAAAAACTAGAGTGACAGAGATTCCTCCAACAGCCACAAGATCAAAACTGGAAAAGAGAAAAGAAATTGTTTGCTTCTTTTTGTTTTATCATCATATTACCACATCTGTCAATGCATCACAAACAAAAACTCTATGTTCCTTATTACAGCCCTTAATTTACTATGTGTAATCCTTCAAGAGTACTTTCCTGGCATAACCTTGGTATCCATGAAGAAGCTCTACCTCTGTGTGCTTTCTCCTCGTACACATTAACAGCAAGGCACAGAACTTCACTGTTATTTGGCCTCCCCATCCTCTATTTATTGACTAGAATCAATAATAATAAATCATCTGTAAAAAAAGTGTAGACCCAGTTATTTTGGTTTATACTTAAAAAAATTCCTAGTCCATAAAAGGGATGCCACTCACAATGTTGTGCAGGAAGAGCATGTAGACTAAGAAGCATTAAAGCCTACTAGGCCTTAGCTCTATTAACATATCCCTTTTCCTTTTTCCAAAAGCAGCATGAGGAAAAGGTTGAGTACACAGAGCATGAGACATCTCTGTGCAGCATATGTAATTTTTGGGAAAGATGCTGATTAATTGCACTGAGAACTGAATCAGCTCTTGTACACAAGGCAGGTGATCCTCTGAGAGGTACTGTGAAGAATCTTTGGCATATCTGGGCTGCAAAACAGTGAGACAGAGAAGGCATTTCTGAAGTTTCTGACATCCATATTCAGGCAACACAAGGTAATATGTAAATAGCTACTTCACTCTCTGTATTATTGAATGCATCTATTACGGAGGCTTTTGATGGTAACAAACTATGATAAGAAGTCAGACTTAATTATGCATATCTCATCACATTTCCCAAATGACACCGATTACATTCACAGCAAAATACAGGTAGCATATTTTAATGCAACAACTTTATCCAGGCTAGCGTAAAGAGGAAATGATAATTACTAATTTTCAGTAGTGCGATTTGAAAGTCAATAAACTAAAGTAAAATAAATATGCATGCTCCTTACTTTTAGAAATTGGCAAAGCCAAACAGAAAAAATAATAATTGTGGAAACAGTGACAAATGACACCATTCTTTCCCAGAAGACAGCTTCTGATTTCTTGTAACTCACATTACAGCCAACAGAGTTGAAGTCTTAAACTGCCCTTAGCAGCTTAACTGAAGTTCAGGAGCAAATCATGACCCTATTGTAAATGGATGGCTAACCCTGCAGTGCCATATAGAGTATATAGCAGCTTCACCTCTCTTTGAGAACTAAACTTGGATTTACAAGGTTGGGGAAGAAGGAGAAGCCAGACTGCTCAGGGCTGGTTATGAAACTGCAATTTAACCATTTGTTTCTGGAAAGAGTCTGTCCTCACTTTTCCTTCTGCATCTCAAGTGATCAACTAAAGGTGTTAATTTCATTGGCACCTTAATGAAGTACTTGGAAGGTTCACACTTAACAACACAAAGAAAAGAGGGAAGACAGGGTATTTCCTGGAAAACCTGACTTGTGAAAATATTCAAATGTCAAGAAGGTACTGTTACAGCAGAACTGGCACCTTCCAACTCCAGGAGTTTGAATGTCAACATAATCTTATCACTGTTCAGGTTTTTGCTTCTTCTCTTTCTTCTCTGATCCCTTTACCACATAGAGAGCTACAATTAAACGTGCTCCCAGAGCAGAAGGCCAGATGCCATCCTCAATCCACACTATGAACAGTGATGTCTACGAAACTTTTGTACATGATTAGAAGTTGGTAGATGGCCTTAACTACACAAACCTAAACAGTGGAAGATCACACATGAAAGCCTGACCTTCCATCTTGTCGACTGATGGTGTACCCATACTCATTGTGGTGCAGAAAACTGACATTCACTCCAACCAAAGGTGTTCCATCTATTGCAACCACCTGGCCTCGGATGACACATGCCCGTCTGTAACAAAAAGAGTAGAAGGCAACATGTTACACACATAAGGAGGGTGAGAAGGGCATTGATTTCAGAAACTGGGCTGTTTCTGCCTCAGCTAGACAGAACTATTCTGATCTCATTGTGACTGTTGATTTTGAAAGAAAAGTCATACATGTCCAAAGGATTGATTTGAAAAAGCATTATCTCATGAAGATGACACAGACTCTCCCATGAACTGCTGGTGTATCAAGAATATATTTCCATTTCCAAACATATTTCAGGATACCATTTGTTCTGCCATTGAATGGCACTGCAAAGGTTTCACTGATAGCATGATTTAGTTTGCTGCAGCTCTAGGGAGTGATGGTTTGTGAAAGGGGAGAATGGAACCTCATTCTCTGCTGCTAGGAATAGGGCATTGCTGTCTATTAGAAAAAAGCTGAACTAATGTGATAAGGCAGCAGTGAGATGTGTGGTCTTCACCGAACTTCAGAAAGTTATATAGGTAAATTCACAGGGTGCCTAATCAAGTGTAACATACATTTTTCTCAATCCTCCATCACATGTTATGCCCTTTTAAATTCCCCCTGGGATGTGTTGGACTTGCACCCACTTTCCACTTTATCCTCCCATTCTGGTGAAGAGGTTGGAACATGGCAGCACAGCAAAATGCATCAAAGTCAATGGACAGAAAAGTGAACTCATTACTAAGTGGGTCTAATCGGGGGATAACAGGATCACAGAATCATAGAAAATGAGAGCTGAAAGGAAATACAAGACTTTATCTTGTCCATTCCTTTGCCTCAGGTTAGATCAACTGTACCTACATCAGTCTAGACAGATGCTTGTCTAACTCTATAACCTCACCAAATAACCCATTCCAGTGCCTCTGTATGAGTGCTTTACTCATGGCAAATACTTTCTGCTCTCCAATTTGAATCTCTACTGCTGCCCTTTATGACCTTGTTTTCACCCTAGCCACAGAAATAGCGAAGAGATTACACTTTTTCTTAGTTTTAGACTTTTACCTATCTGAATAATTAAATGTAAAGGAGGCAAGTCTCCTCAGGGATGAGAAACAAGATGTAAAATATCCTTAGGGTGCAGATTAGGAGCTAGTGGGATTTTCTAAGGGCTTACACAGCTACACTCCACTGGAACACTTTTGAGTATTTTGCCTTATGCCATCAGGTACATCACATCAGCATACCTCCACCTGCTGAAGAGACCCAGGTTTTGGAACCTCATGATACAATTGCATCTATTTCCTGGAACTATGGTTTTACATAATGAAATGAACAGGGTATGCAGAAGTCTTTTGGTAACATTAAGACACTTAGGGTTGAAACCAATAGAGTACTTATAAAGTGAACTGGAATTAATTACCTAATATAAACAACAAGCATAAATTTAGGTGTTGTTATGTTTCTCTCTCATTTTGAAAGTGTGGTAGACCTCAACAGACACATCCATTGCACAGCAAATATGAGATCTAAAGGAAAAGCTTAATAGCTCCTCAGACAAAAGTTATTTAGGAGTCTACATATTAATTAAAAAAATATCCTTTGAGAGATTAATTGACCATGATCCAATGAAATCATATACACAAACTGGAGACCATAAATTTCTGAAAATTCTGACTTGTTTCTTAAGATCCCATTCTCTAGAGCCATTTGAAAGGACACTGATTTATCACCATGATATCATCAAACCCAGCTGACTACGGCCTGAGAAAATGCAACTGGTAAAAATTAACCTCTTTGTGAGTACATCATTCACCACAGTTGCTAATATGAATTCCATGCTCCCAGGACATAGAAAGATGCTGATTTTCAGCAAAGATGTTGATAAATCCCAGAGGAATGGGAGAGGCTGCATTACTGCCAGTGTGCAAAACAGCTGTGATTTTTCATTTTCTGCATTAAATTGTGGGCAAAACCTGCTGCTCCACTGAAGACAATCAAGCTCCTGTGTGTCTCAACAGACTCACAAGACTCACTGAACAGAACAGCCAGGTTCAATTACTCTTTGATTTGTTAGAGCAGAAAATGTTGGTTTCTATTGTTTTCTCATATTTCTAACAGCAGCAGACCTTACCTTCCTTTTCTAATACCTTTATTAGTGCATTCCATATATATATACAATACACATTGGTGTGAGAGTGAGACCTCTAGGAGTAATCATTATTCAGTGCATTATTCTCGCACTCCTGTTTGTTCATTCTACACAGACGTGTCTTCTGACACTACTCCGTCCTCATATTTTATCAAGCACACAGATTTGTGCAATAACAGCTCATCAAAGTCTCCATTATTTCATCCATAGTCTTTCTTTCCTCTACTCATTCACTTTACTTCCCATTATTCATAAATAATATTAAGAGACTTATCTTTCAACTTGCTCATTTTTTATTCATCATATTTTACAAGCCACACATATTTACAGTATGTGATAAAGACATAAACCTCATTATTCTACATTTATCTGTACTGAATTGTCTTTGTAATCTCTTAGATTTTAAATGTCCTAAGCCTGCCTCTGTGTTTCTACATTTGTCCTTATTATTTAATACCTTTTTATTACCTACTCTCAGTTGAAGAGTCTTCTACTCTCTGGCCTCTTGAATTACCAGCACTTACTAAATCTCTGACTAAGCATTTGATCAGAATTAGCTTTAATGTTGGCATTTACTGCAGGTATGAAAACATTTTTCAGTTACTTTACGACCAACACTGATCTCAAGAGCTTGGGAGGTAACAAACAGCCCCTGGTTTGCAGCAAGTTCTCCCCCCTTTCCCTATGGCCTGGCAGCTCACAGAGCAGACCCTCATGCCTGCAGGCATGCTGGCACACAGGTTCCCTGCAGCTCTGCTGCTTGCAGAAGACTTGACTTAATTTCTTTTCTTACCAGAGCTTTTAGAGCATTTTCCCTGCAGTGATGTCCCTTCATAGTCAATTGCCACTTCACGCTTCCTTGCTTCAACATTCACCCTCTTCCCAGATGAGCTGGGGGCCTTGCTACCTACCACTCACTGCTTTTCTTAATTTAAGCAGAGAAACCTCTGAAGATCATGATGTCTCCTCAATGCACTGTAGGTCCCTCTATTATCTGCCTCTAAGATTTATTCCACACTCTTGTGACTGCCCTGCTTTGCTTTCTCACGGGGGATAACTTGTACTATCTGTCCAACAGTCACCTCTTTGCAGTGATTGCGTAATCTCGGACCTAAGGCTCTCCAAGCTGTTTTAACTTGAAAGTAAGTGCAAAATGTCTTTTCTAATTTGGCAGAGCTGGGCAGGAACATGCCCCTGATAAGCTGCCTTAGTGTTTTCAAATGCATTAAAAATGTTCCCAGTCCCCTGGAAAGCTGTACTAAATCTGCAACTCCAGAGGGAGCAGTTGGCTTTTTGAGAGAAAATGGAGATTCCCACGGGTTGCAGGTGGCGTAAAAGAAGTTGCATTTCACTGTCAATGCTTCATGGGTCATTCCACGAGCAACTGAGGATCTCAGCTCTGCAAGTTTCAGGTCTCTGCTGTCACGCAGTTTGTTTGACATCTCTAATTAAAAATATAAATAGAAGCTTAAATTCTGGATGCATCCTTTCACTGCTTGTAAAGCATTTTATTATTCCACCACCATTCTTCTGTGCTTTGCTGCTACTTATCTGCTATTTTTTTGCCTTTGTTTTGTGTGTTAAGTTTCCAATATTCTCTGAGCACCTCAGGCTGAGACATTAGGCTCAGATGAGGAACTCTCTCAGGCAACTTGTGAATTTGCAAGTGTCACATTACCAGGAGATGTCATTTACTGTATTACATTTCTGATTAAAATCTTCAATCAGAAAAATTAAGCT